ACATCATATACATATAATAAGTAGGATAACTGCCAGTATAATGATAACTGCTTGTCACTGATTGTCAGTCATCCATTCCTATAATTTCCACAAATACTTTGCCTTTTACGCCGAATGGTGTCTGTTTGGGTGGATAATCGAGACTGGTTATTACTTACTTACTTATATTAGAATTTTACGTGCGCTTTCCGACTGCAAGCGTATGTCGCACACGGGCCCGGCAGGCCATTTAATATGTTTCCGAAAGGGGGAAAAGGAAGTGGTTTTGCAACCCAGGAGAGGGTTTAAGGATTGCTTATATAGTAATTTTGAGATTTTAAGATTTTGAATGAATGCCAGGTGTGGGTAGGGGGCGAACTGAGGGAGCTGTGTGTGGTGGGTGGTTTGTTAGTTTATGTGATTTTGGTTTTATTAGTTTATTTGGGGTTTAAATGCAACTAATTAGTCCTGTTTTAATAAAGTATATGCATTAGGCTTTGAATTTTTCTAATTTATTTTGTGGATTTAGAATTGATTCTAGAGTAAGTGCAGTATTAAGATATAGGGTGGTTTGTAGTGTGGTTCGGTGTGTTTGGTAGTGTGTGCAGTGAATGAGTACGTTTTCTGGTTTTTCTTGTTGTTTGCAGTGTGGGCAGGTTCCTGTCGCGTGTAGTTTAGCTATTTTGAGGTGGTTATTTAGTTTGGTGTAGCCTGTTTGTAGTTTAGTGATTATTCTATCGATTTTTGTGGATGGGTGTAGTATTTTTGGTTTAGTTAGGGGTTTTTAAGAACTTTTTTGATTTGGCTATTTGAGTTTAGGTATATATTTTGCCATTTTTGTGATTTTTTGTTTAGTGGCACTTTTAATTTCTGATTTTGAGATAGGTAGGTTTAAGCTTATTTCTGGGAGTTTAAGGGATAATTTGGCTGCTTTATCGGCTATTTAACTGGTTATTTTCGCGCGTTGACGTTTTATATTTCAGTTATGATGAAACCAGTGTCCTTTGTCTTATTAGTATTTCTACAGACACCATTCAGCGAATCAATTGCCAACCTGATGTCAGTGTCTTGACACGTGGCGTATGTTCCCGTGTGGGGTCAAGGTGAACAATTACCTTGTCTTTCAAATTCAGCGCATTAATTGCCAACCTGATGTCAGTGTCTTGACACGTGGAATATGTTCCCGTGTGTGGTCAAGGTGAACAATTACCTTGTCTTTCAAATTCAGCGCATTAATTGCCAACCTGATGACAGTGTCTTGAGACATGGCATATGTTCCCGTGTTCGGTCAAGGTGACCAATTACCCTGTCTTTCAAATTCAGCGCATTAATTGCCAACCTGTTGTCAGTGTCTTATTTCAGGTATTTCCGGGTTGGGTTGAGAAGTGAGAGGCGCAGCTGTTAATTAATGCTAAGATTGAAGGGGAGATAAGTATCATAATAAGAGTGTATCATAAGATAAGAGTGTATGAAGAGTGAATATGGGGATGAGTTTATCTCATTTCCCGTATGTATACATTAATTATTCTGTTTCAGTTTATATATACTGTATTCTTAACCTTGCCTTGAACAAACCAGCGTGGATGAGCACTGTCATCAACAGCAGTTTATCAACAACTGTAGACGGTAACCTTTGAAAAGTCGTGGGGGACGGCGTCAGTACTGAAACTGAGCACCATGTCGTATCTCCATGGTTCGTTTTGGATCTTCTTGAACAATATGAAGTTCATAACGTTACCATTTTCCTTGGTCTAATTTAAGGCATTATGTGGCTGAATTTTGCAAAGCATACCATGTCTGTCAAATGTTTGGGAAACCTAATCCGAAAATCCTAACAGTTTGCGCTGTGCCTCCTACCGTTGTGACCCTCCCCGGTTAAGATGTCAGCTTGTACACAAAACAGCATGATAATTTCTTAAACAACATTGTCCAGTGATGGAAATAAAAATAACAAACAGCAGATGTTGTTGGGTACCTTGTATTCATTGCCGTGTAAGTATTGACATTTAATATTTAATCATTATTCCCGATTATTTTAGCGACGTGCATACACGTGTGTGTGTACGTGTGTACGCGCGCGTGCGTGCGTGCCTGCGTGTGTGTGTGTGTGTGTGTGTGTGTGTGTGCGCGCGCGCTTGCGTGTGTGGCTGCTTGTACTAGTCCGGACAGATGCCGATTTTATAGCGCTAGTCCACTAAGATACTATGCCGCAGTTTAACATTAATACCCCATTCAGACACAGTATACTGACTGCGAGCCGACCAGTCCTTGTTTTAGTCCCTCAATGCCGAGCATCAGACGGCGTAACAACAAGTACCATCTTTTGACCAAACTAACAACCCGTCCAGTGTTACCACAGTGTCTTTATTCTTATCATGATATGCTGCACGCGATTTCCAAACTTTGCAGGCTAACCGTGCACGAGACAAATGGTGCATCTCGAACTATGGATCTATGATGTCACATGTAATGTGTTCATGAGTGTCGGTTCATACAACATACCAGTGTGTTCGTTTGTGCATCGAACCAATCAAATATTTCTTGAATATGAGTAATTTTTCACATATCAACCAACATATATGGTATTCATGTTTCTTTTGTCGGTGAGTATATATTTCAAGTTTTATGCAAGTAATAACGATGTTGTATATATTTTTATCGGGCATGTCAAATGTCACATGCTGCCTTGGTTTGTCTAGTATGATTTTATTCATAAATCTCTCGAACAACACAGGGGATTTGTTGTGTTGGTGTCAGACTGAAGAGGGCGTAAAATCAATGTTAAACGGTGGTGGTGATATGTGTACACGCTGCATGTAAACAATGCTGTCATGACGAAAACATGAAAGTTCTTGAAAATATATTGTTTGCATTCATTGGTACTTCCATTTCATCCAGCACCAAAATGGCACATTCGCGATCTCGCATTCCGGAACTTTGGGCATATTTAGCTCTTTTCTTAAGGTCGAGATCGCGAGAATGTCACTTACATTATTTCATACATATTTTTACTTTCAGCGTCACCTTGAGATAACGACTGACACTGACGATTTGGGACGTTGCTGATGCTGTAGACCCTCGTTGCCCTGGCCGGGATTCCATGATTTACAGATTGCTGTGATGAACTGGGATATTTCTAAATGTGGCGTTAAACAATAAACAATGAAACAAAATCCGTTGTGAGAAAATTAATATAGTCGAGATAACATACTTCCGGGTCACGCTAAGAATAAAGCGAATTGGACATAACCCTGAACTCGCGAGTGTCATGACCTTGTGAAATATAACAATGCATTTCTGTTGATGTGTCCGTCTTCGTGATAGAGCTGGCTTAATTTATATAAGGGGCATTCACACAGTACAACTAGGTGTATACAATTTGTTTCATGCAACACATTGCATCGTGTAAACAGGCAAGTCGGTCCAACTTTTGACGTATGCAACTTTTTGGACGTGAGTTGTACGAAATAGGACATGCTCTATTTTCATGCGACAAGTTAAAAATTCAATAATATACAACTCCGTTAATTTGCAAAGTCATAGGTTGGCCCAGTACCGCGCAACCGCAATTCTCGCACAGCCTTAACATTTCAAAACTGTAGGTCTGAAAATTAACAGGATTCCAGCGGTAATGTAGCGAATCACAAGCTTTTGGTCAGAGATCTCGCGAGATCCGAGTTGTATGCAACATGCCGCCGTGTTGTATACATCAGTTCGTACAACTTCTTGCATACAACTAATTGCATACAAGTTGTACCAACTGGTTGTACAGCGTGAATGTCCCTTTAGTTAACTTTCGTAAACTTGTTCTGAGTACATGGACAATTAAATCCTCATCAAGCAGGGAGTAATACATGCGCATTACCCTTCTGAAAATTTAAAAATAATGTATTAGACAGAAAAAAACAAAATACAAGAATATACTCATCATTTTAATATATCAGTTGACAATATTCATTCATATTTAAGTCAACTCAAAATAATCTACAGTTACTAAATTATATTGTGATTATATTGTTTTACAAAAATAGCTTGAATTAATTATGGCACAAAATATCATTATTGTTGTTGATATGCTGCACGTGCATTACCCGCGTGGCGTTCACGGCCGATTCCTTCTGTCCGTCCGGTATGTTTATGAATAACTTAAAATTGGAATTTTGAATAAAAAGACCACAGCGCAAAGGTAATTTGTGTTTGAATGATCAACACACGTTAACACTCGCATAATCATTTTATTTATTGACAATGTTTTTTTAATGAAAAACAGGGAATAGGATTTATTGATAACATGCATGAAAATGATTAAATGCATTGCAACATGTCTCATCAAGCACATATTTACGCAGCATTTGACAATATGAACATATGAAACATTACGGTACCGGTTTCTGAAAAGAAATCATCTGAAAATGTCATTGGCTTTACAAAACTAATAAGGATCATGTACTATCACCCTTTAAGCTAGTTGATTTTAAATGTGAAGTAAATATGAACTACATATGAGGGTATGGTGGAATTATTTATGTTATTATGCACATATTTATGTACAAGAACTATGCATTTGCTCTTAGAAAATAACAAAGATGTAATTTCTGGAGGATATAAATTCATTCATTTCTTCATTCATTCATTCATTCATTCATTCATTCATTTATTCACAATACAATGACAGATACATGTATATGTCATTTCAACCTCGCCCAGTCTGCAAGACATATTATGATACACCAAACATATTGTACCATGTTGGGCTGTTGCTGGATCTGTGTGCACATCCTGTTCATATTGTTCCTGCTTCTTCTGCTTCAGCTGAACAGCACCCAGCACTCACTTCGTGACAGTTCTGTTAACAACACATGTCTTCCTGTGTATGATGTCGTCTCGTGCACAAAGAAGGTCATATGTTGATAATTGGAAAATAAAACACATTATTTCGACAAACATGATGAGACCATCTGGGTACAGTCAAACATATCAAGTCAGTCCTGTGAAACATACTTCCCATGATGGTGGCTCTGGCATGATGTTGCCCAATTGCAGGCTCGACCTTATCCACCAGTACAAAGTTCTGGTGAACTCTCCTTCGAGACAGCTTAATATACACCTTACCTTCGGTCCGCGAACCAATCTGCTTCTGTAAGTACTTGAGGGAATACTCTGTAACTACTTGAGACTATCTTCTGTAACCCCCAGTTCAACCAGTTTCATTTGGACTCCTCCGAGGTAGTTGCGATCAGGATAACTGTCATCAGTACTTTGGAACATGAAAAATAATAAGCACCTATTAACATCAGTCCGATCTGTAGCTTCCTTTCCTTGCCTTCAAAAAGTTATTAAATATTTAAAGGAGACAAGATCACGAGTTCCTGCTGTGATGCTGTCGGAGTATAAAAGGTCTCCAGATCCACATTATTTCGTCTGAGTAAGGTATCCACGTTAAACTGCGGCGGGGTATCTCAGTGGGCTAGCATTAGTCCGGACACAAACACACACACACACGCACGCACGCACGCACGCACACACGCACGCATGCATTCATGTATCCCATTTAACCTCACCTGACACGTTTTCGGAAGATTTTAAAGACTAGGATTTGTGTGACTTTGGTTATATTGTGAGTCAGCCTAACGCGGTGTACGATGTACAACTGCTTGTCCTGGCCCAGAAAACATTACTTACAGGCCGCCGTCAAAGAGCAGGTATCTTGTTGATAATATTCATTCAGTCATTCACTATGAAGTTTAAATTGCCAGTGTTTGAACAGTAGTGTGGATGAGTGTATGGATGAGATAGAAACATGCACAGCAGAACAATAAAGTACAGAGAACTGACAACTGCCATATGGTTCGATACTCTATCTTAAATGCAAGTGCACACGAGGTTTGAACTGAAGTATATACTAATTTCGAACGCATAAACCAAGTTTTACAAAAGTCTTGAATCTGATACACTCTATAACAGTTACAACCCACAGGACTCGAAACATCTCGAGATGACAGTGACATGTACATTCAACAAAAAAATGTGTTTACTTAGGATTTACGACTTTCATCTTCTTGTGATGGATGCAGTATTTCAGCAAATAGAGTCCAAGAGGGTCGTGGTAAATCTGGAAGGTCAGTTTCCTCTTCCAGGCGACCTTCAGCAAAGCCAGCACCTTCTGCCCCTCGGAAGTGTTGGGCAGGTAGGCAGTGAATGTTTCACCATGATACTCGGTTCCAGGTTTTGGGTGTCCCTCCTGTTACACAAAAATGGCGTTCATACTGTTATCTAGATTAGATGCAGTTTGTTTCCTGTATAAATTTGGTCTACTGGTAGAGCGTCCATCTGGGTTCTATCCCCGGCCGCGTCATACCAAAAGACGTTAAAAGATTATACTTGTTGTTACCCTGCCTAGCGCTCGGCATTAAGGGGCTTAAACAATGACTGGACCGTTCGGAGTCAGTATACTGTGTCTGAGTGGGGTATTCATGTTAAACTGCGGCATAGTATCTTAGTGGACTAGCGCTATAAAATCGGCATCAGTCCGGACTAGTACAAGCAGCCACACATACGCGCGCACACACACACACACACACACGCACACACACGCACGCACGCACACACACACACACACACACACACACACACACACACACACACACACACACACACACACGCATGTCGCTATATACAATAATCTTGGACGAGACATTAAACCCCATTTAAACTCACTTATATGAATTTTAAAAAATATTTTAAAAACCCAATGCATACTTTTATCTTTTCCACTAGCGTTCCGAATGCATAAAAACCCCGATAAACAATGTTTCAAATTGATTTTTATTTATTGCATTTGTTTGTTTTGATACGTCATTTGCATGATATTATAATAAAATAAATACTCGTTCAACTTTTGTCTTGTGATGATGCTGATTACGTGAGTGAAAATATAGGAGACTGTCAGCAAACAATGGTGCGGGTGAATTATATATATGCTTCAAGACATAAGTTTGACCTTTAAAACTTTGTTTGGAAATCTCCATGACCTATGTGCGAACTGTATCGAGCAATCCTGAAGTGTTAAAACGTTACGAACATAACACCATAAAAGTGCCAACATAAGAGATCCGCCGATATTTGGAATATACCCCTCCCAGCCGCTACATGAAACACTATTTCCAAAGTACAAAACAGATAATTTTCATGATCGACATTATCGTCATCAATTAAATTGTCCGTCGCCTGAATGAACATTTCTAAGTTCACTTGTAACCTTCTTGAACACTAAAAGTGTGTTTATTATCATGTTTAAACAAGATGACTCACAGTTTGAATTCCGTCCTGAAATACGTATTTTATCTCAATGGTGTCATGTAACCTGTTGCCTGGCAGCCCGTCAGGGATGACTGTTGTAATCATTTCTCCAGGCGGCATGTTTCCGGTTTTGCACACGGGACACATCCGTTGTTCTTTGACGAAAAGACCGGCTTCGCAGATAGTGTGCCCACACTGAAGGGTCGTAGGTTCCTTCCGTGTCGGACATGTCTTGCAAGTTTCACTCTCCAAAGCTTCCGCTTTCTGTTTAAAATATTGCAGCAGTTCCTTCTTCCCAATGGACTCTGAGGCTGCATCACACACTTTGTTCATAAGGGACATCAAACCATGTTTGTCTGAAATCAATGAAATATGGTGAAGTTATTGAGTATGAGTGAGTATGTTGTGTTTAACGCCGCTTTATTACGGTTATATCGCGTCGTGTCAGCTTAATGTGGGAGGAAAACCCGAAGTGATGCAGGTCTCAGACGTTTATCACTTCGGTGAAACCCACGAGTACGGGTATGGTGCTGACAAACCTAGAAACATAATCAGGGCGAACCGGGATTCGAACACACAATCATAGGTTTCTGGCGTGCCCAAGGGACGCAACTCTGCACAGCGAATCGCGGCGCCTTAGACGACTGGGCCACCCTTGCCCCCTATTGAGTATGTAAACCTGTACGATATATAGAAAATACATTTGACATTATAAAACACTTTTGAAATATACCAAACTATATTTAATATAGATATTATTTTCTATTTGCTTAAGTGCATTGATGGCCATGCCTACGTATAAATGGCTACAGGTATATCATAAAAGCGATCACACCCTTTCCATGATCATGCGAATCTCCGCAAATTGTACCATTGAACGATTCCGTCTATATCATAAGCATACGTCTATACGTTCTTTTTATTAGGAATCACTATCAAATGGTGAAATAATCATTTTTCATACCTCTTCTTTATCTTTGATATTCCCATGTAAGATTCTGTCTATATCATAAGCATACGTCTATACGTTCTTTTTATTGGGAATCACTATCGAATGGTGAAATAATCATTTTTCATACGACTTCTTTATCTTTGATATTCCCTTGTACGATTCCGACTATATCATAAGCAAACGCCCATACGTTCTTTTTATTAGGAATCACTATCAAATGGTGAAATAATCCTTTTTTATACCTCTTCTTTATCTTTGATATTCCCATGTAAGATTCTGTCTATATCATAAACATACGTCTATACGTTTTTTTGTATTGATAATCACTATTCAATAGTTAAATAATCATAACTATGACCTCTCTTATATCTTTGATGTTCTAGTAAACAAAAATGGTAGTGATTGCTATTATCAGTCTTAAGTTTGTTTAGGCGGGAGATTCGGTCGTCTGGGAATTTTCAAAAAGTTCAGTCTGGACATTTTTCTATAAATCTTAAATTGTGAAACTGTGATCCATAAACTGTAGAGCTCTGCCAGGATATGCCCGTCATTGGTTTGAATAACAGATCACATACGATTTAGGTCATTAGTTTGACCGGACATATATTGGTATATGTAAAGGCTATGCCCGTCCCCCCCCCCCCCCCCCCCCTCATTAAGCTGACACACCCTGATATGACTGAAATACCGTTCAAAGCGGCATTGAACTCAACGTAATAGCTGTATGGAAGTTTGAGAACAATATAGAAGATCAGTCTGTAAGCCATTTTAATATATAGTTTACACTTGTTATTTTCATGATTATGTACTTGAGTACTCATTACCACTTTTGGGGCGGTCGGGTAGCTTAGTGGTTAAAGCGTTCGCTCGTCACGCCAAAGACCCGGGTTCGATTCCAGACATGCGTACAATGTGTGAAGCCCATTTCTGGTGTCCCCCGACGTGATGTGGAATATTGCTAAAAGCGGCGTAAAACCATAATCACTTACTCACTCACTATTACCACTATGATCACGAAAAACCTTATTAAAGTTGTCTCCTGCTTCAAAATGTACTCCTGTTAAATGATAATCACATAATATTACCGCTATGGTGAGTGGAATCTGTAGATGTTGTAACACCTCCAACTTCTGAAAGTAATGTCTGAATAAGGGATCCATTCAAATGAATAAAGGTGACACCAGCTTCGTCGGATTCTGGTTGGCACTGATCCTGACCAAGTGAAACTTCAAGGGCCTTTTTGATGGATGGGTACATCTGGAGTAAAGCCACAACGTCAGCTCTTTCTTTTGCCTGTGTGAAGTATGACATCTTCGACTCTATCATCGATAAGGACGAGTTTGCTGCTTCAATATTCTTTTCAGCCATGGACATCATGCTCTTACTTCTTTTATCGATTACTTCATATATTTGTCCCTCTCTCTTCTTTATGACACATTCCAAACTGGCAAGGAATTGAGACGCACAGGATTTTGCAGTTTCTGTTGATTGTTTGAATGTTCGTTTACGATTTTCCTCAGTCATTATCATATTTCTTAGTCGTCCTGCATGCCCCTGTACAATCTGTATAGCTGTTTCAAGTTCCTGAGTTCGCATTTTTGCTACATCCTCCAGTTTCTCGAAAGTGTGGCCTTTATGATCTAGATTTGAACAAGAAAGGCAACACACTGTGTCATCAGTGATACAGAAGAACTCCAATAGATGCATCTTGTGCTGAGGACAGAAATGACTCTTTACAACTGGTCTCGGCAGATGTTGTACTGAGTTGTGTAGAGATGTGATGATGTGATCACGTGTAAGCCTATGACGTCTATGTACAGACGTGCATTCTTTGCACAGGTTTAGAGAGCAGTCCTGACAGGTCGACTCCGCCTTATTCCCATCTGAACAATCTATGCAAAGTGCATATTCTTCTTCCGCCGTTTCAAGACACTCAACAAGCTTATATCTGACACAATCTAAGGGCACTGATTTTGCATTTCCGGATACCTTTTGCACCTGACGACATAGAGGACAGGTGACCTGACTTTTGCCCTCCTTGGCCAGGAGCTGTTCGAGGCACTGGGCACAGACAGCATGGAGACAGGAGTGAAGCAGGAGAGGACGTCGTTCTGTTTGGTTAAAATGTTCCAAACAAACGGGGCATTCCAGAAACGTTTCTTTCAGATATGTAATGTCAATTTTTTCTTTCGGCTCAGACATACTGGAAACACTGTAAAATATAACACCAATAAACATCAATAAATGGTGGATACAGTATTCCAGATAACGAAGTTAATGCTCACTATATATTGTACAGGGTCTTTAACACAATCGTTAAATCCGTCTTAAACACCGTCTTTTGCCTGTGTGGTTTATCATTTCTTCATATAACAGTCAAAAGGTTTCTTGTGAATCTACGATATAGTCTGTGAAGTGTTTGCTTTGTACTGCCTTTACCTACATTTCGTACAAATCAATTTGGGTCAAAAGCATGCTTCTGTTCAAATAATGGCATGTATCTTTCCAAACATGCCAAAAAATCCCCCCTATATATTCCTCTTAGGTCATTCAGTTTGTGTTGCTGTAAGTTACAGAACATGCCAGAGTAAATTTTAAAATGATGCAGTGTCCAGAAAATGTAAGTTCATGTTTTTTCGTAATATCGTTGTTTGTCAGGATTACCACTTACCTAAATCTGTCAACGTATTCCTATGTTACACTCAAACACAGACACGCCTTGTGCATACATCCACTTTGTACGATGTACATGCTGAAGGAGGAACGTATTTAACCGCTAAGCGTAGGCAGCCCTGACCGGCCAACATTTCCTGTTTGAATTAAGGATAACATGTCAACACACGCTTCAAGAGATAACTTATCGTCGATCCCCTGGCTGGGTTTCACAAAACGAGGAAAACGTTAACGATCTGTGTTACTTTGGGCCTGCGCCTCTACCATTAAGCTGATACATAAAAATAATTTTATTTTAATAACTCATATACTTTATAAAGCAACATTTAACCTAAATGGCACCATGACTTTGAAAAATTGGCAAATGCTTGATTCCAATTGTATGTGTTTTTTAAAATCACAATAAACATTTCTGTTTGAAGAGATCATTTGACAAGTGCCTCACCGCGAGGCATTATTCATAGAAGAGTTTTCTTTCTCAATTGTTTTTTTAATTTTTAAATAAGGATATTTCAGTTGTACATGTATGTTACAAAATGCAGAGTTGTAACAACAAAGATGGTTACTCTTATTCAATAAAAAGACAAGAATCAAAACCCTTTGATTGTACGAGCATGTTATGAGCACGTGTTTATGAATCACTATGAAATAGTGATGATACGAAAGGTGAGCGTATTCTGCCACCGGTGGCACAGGTGTAACCTTTTTGAGCAAGGGTCGTTTGACGTTCTGTGAAATGTTATTTCCGCAGACTGGAGATCCTTAATTATTGCTCGACATGAAGGAAAAGTTGACTACTTTAAAGTTGAAGTCATCCCTCTTGTCATACAGTCATGTGGGTTTTTGTCACTCTGATTCTTCATGCATAGATCTAAATGTGAAACAAATGAAGCGGTTTCAGTGGTCTCTTGTATTTCTTCTTCAGGTGGGTACATCAGTAGAAAGGGATTGGCTTTTTGGCCGTCATTGAACGATATCAGATTATTGTATACTGGGAGCTTAAGTTATATTTCTTGGCCAAATTACCTTTGCCAATCCGAGCAGAAATTCTTATTCATATGCATAACAAAAGCTCGTATGGCATGGAAGTCAACTGAGAGAACATATTTAGAGTTTAATAGACAAATCAGGGAATAAATAAAAGCGACCAAACCGGTACCCATTCCATATTTATAAGAAACCTTAGCCAAGAGCACAGTCGATTGTAAGAATCCGATTATATGATGAGCATGTGTAATGAATCACTGTCAGTTCCGATCAGGATACAATGACCTCATGTTCTATTAAAGTAAATCTTATGGAACGACATCTGTGCATGTTGTACCGTGAGGAGTGTAGAAGATTACCTTTATGCTAATGTGTACATGTAACAGGAATTGTGAACTAGGCCTGTCAATTCCGTCAATAAACGTATTACAAATTGTATCACAATGAGCCTTGTGACATCACCACATTAGAACAAAGCCTTGCAGCACTCTTTGCTAAATGGCTATCGTCGGTGTTTTCTGAATGCGAAAAAATTCCGCTGTGATACAAAAATACATACTACACGTTTAGTTCCAAATTCATTGTAGACCTGAAGACAACATAGCTTTACATGAATAACACGGTTGACCTAACGGCCCATCAGGGTGAAACAACTGAGCACAAGATTGAATTGCATGTCGTGTGTATTATTGTCGGAACATATCACACATCTCTTTGTTTAAAGGGCGGTCGGGTAGCTTAGTGGTTAAAGCGTTCGCTCGTCACGCCGAAGACCCTTTATTTGTAATAAAGTTGTTGTAATACGGCTGTTATCTTGCTTCGTGGTGTATTACAACACCTTTATTACAAATAAAGGTAATTTGTTAGCCGTGATATTGCTGGAATATTGCTAAATGCGGCGTAAAACCACACTCACTCACTCTCTTTGTTAAACAGCAACATAATGCTTTGTGAACCCCTGACACATTTGACGGACCTGTGACTCAGCGACATGTTTCACGGACTTCCGCATCATGCCCTTCATATTATGTTCGCCCAATAGGAAACACGAACACGGAAAGGAATGTGTGACACAACGAAACATAAAACACCGAATATTGCATATTGTGTTACAATTGTTTTAAGTGATATGGATGTGTGCTCGATCGAGTGGATACCTGTAGGATCTATGATACAGTTGAATCCCAGGTGTGTGGAATGTTATAACCCACTGATATGTCAAGTCGCACTTCAGGCCAGTCACCGTACGGCTGTAATCTTGCTTCGTGTCGTATTACAACAGCGATTGATTGAGAGTGTTGGGTTGAGTATTTAAGTTCTATCACGGCGTTTCAGTTTAATGTGGTAGGAAATAATACATATATTCTATGCATGGCGTGTGAGCTCCATACAACACTGCACATGGAAATATCATTTCGATAAACACATGGGCAGTGGAGTATGGTGCTCACAAGTCATGCATATATTATATAATTTCCTACCACATTAAACTGAAATATATATATAATTTCCTACCACATTAAACTGAAATATATATATAATTTCCTACCACATTAAACTGAAATATATATATAATTTCCTACCACATTAAACTGAAATACTGTTCCAAGCGATGCTCAACCCAACATTCTACATTTTAGGCCTGATATAGGATTCTAACCAACGATCATCTAACTAGGCATCACAGCATCACTTTGCACATCGAATTGCGGAAACTGCGTAAACCGTGCCCCGTAAAATATCAACATCCTAATTCATACTTGCCCAGGGTTGGGTAGTGTGAGGAGAGGGAGAGTGAGGTGATGTGAAGGGGGGTTCAACGTCACGTTCAAGATAAGTGCACTTATAACGTACCGTGTGTGTGTGTGTGTGTGTGCGAGTGCGTGTGAACTCAGTTCAGTCCGCAACAGTGATGCAGTGTAACAAGTAACATTTTTTAACGTCTTCCGGTAATCTAACAACCGACCTTCCTCTCTCCGGGGCCACGTTCTTTCCACTAGACTACGGATGTGGTCCAAAGGTGTCGTAGCTGTAGTAATTGATGTATGTCACATGATGGTATTTCATAGCTTCCATTTAGATGTGTATTACAGAAATGCGATTTTTACTAAACTTCTGACAAAAGGCATTTATTGAAAGGTTGTCTTCTTCAGCAGTTCTAATGATGTGATTTATGCTGATCAGTGCAAGGCTCAATACATTAAGATCAAGTGTCAGTGTAGTTTACGTAGTGTAGACTACGGAAACCATAAATGATCCTTACATGGGCATATATGTACGAAGACCATTAATGTCTTTCCTTTAATTGATTGCAAAGTGCCACCACAATTCTTATCATCGAAGGAATGAATTGTATCATTTTAATACCATATGCATTAAAGAACAAAGCTCAATCACACTTAGTTAACTGATAAAATGGAGTGACAAATATCAAACTCATTGTAAATATAGGCATATACGTAGCAGTTTTATTCAGAATACAAGTCATCCGTTAATGACAAATCAGTGCCAATGTAAGACATACAAAACGGTTCTGAGCCTAAAAATACAACTACCTTGAATCTACGCAATATTCTGCTTTCAGAAGTAAATATAATATTACTGTACATCAGTATTGCCCTTCTTAATATTCACAAGTTAAAATCTCCATGGTCAACTGTAACCAAATATAAATATGCATGTCGCAACAATACTGTTAAGAGTGAATAGTTTTGACAAATAATTTCATAGAAAATCTTGTCACTGGTCAGTTAAAAGTCAACCAATTTTCAAAATAAACAATGCATGAGATGAGTGACAGAAACAGAAATTGATTCAAGGTGCTACATCATTTCATGAAAATGAAAAATAAAACAAAATTACCTACTTCTTGTTAGATATCATAAAGATATGCGCCTCAACACAAGGTTGTTACCCGTGCAAGGTTTTGTGAAGAGATACTCGACAAAACTTAGTGTATTGTTATTTCTAAAGACAAAAGGTAAACAGGACAGATGTTCCAATTATTTGTCACTGAATGAATACAAATCATGTAATTTAGAATAGGAGCGTCTATGTAAGTGAGTGAGTTAGTTGAGTCTAACGGCCGTATTTCAATGATATCATGGCGTGTCAACTTGATGTGGAAGAAGAGCACGAAGTGATGCAGGTCTTGAATGATAATCACTTTGGTGAAACCAGCGACCACGGGTATGGTGCTGACTTACATACAAACATATTCAGAGCGAGAACATAGCTTCTCACACTAAACAAGCATTGTCTTGTGTATTAGGTAATTAAATCATCAAATAGGTTATCCCAAAGGCATGGACACCTTCTGCAAATATAAGACCACTGATAGTTGATATTTCGTATCTAAACAACATAAAGTGTTAGAGAAATTAAGCTAAAGTAGTTTGATTACAATTAAATAACGTAAACAGCAAAACGTGTGTTGATTGCGCTGACTCAAGCATCTTAAGCATGTTAAGTCCATATCATTTCTACGAGTAGTTAACTTTGTTGCTGTTAATGTAGCAAATGAAAGAAAATAGCAAGTACATATCCACACAAAAGGTAACAAAACTCAATAACAACGTATATAAAAAAAATATCAGTAAGATAAACTAATGCTACATATATGTATTTCACAATGTACACAATTCAAGCGTCTCTTCTAAACTACAGTTGCTCCCGGTAAGAAACCAAATGATAAGATTTGGTGCATCATAAATACAAATTTGATGATAACTTAAATCGTGTAAAGAATAATATTTCCCACTCTGCATGTTTAAATATTGTTGAAACTAGTGACTATAATCAACTGCAGTAATCTGCATGTATCTGATGTGCGGGGAACTCTCTGTTGGTCACAGTGGTTAACCATTGGGAAACATTAGAGGAAGCAAGCTTCCAATCCTTGAGTTGAAACATACATTGATACAAGTACAATGAAAAGACCCGAAGGTTTCTTTTGATAGAGTATATTTCATGTGTCGACTGAAATATCATGTTTCTCTCGTCGACAATATCTCCGTTCCCCTCGTCACGAGATGAGAGAAACAAGACATTTCACGAGACTCATGGAATATTCTATTTATTATATACTTTTTGAGTAGTTGTTAAAATTAAATTATTTTATTACAAATGTATAATCTTGAAACGTAGATTCTCTCTACCCACGATAGACGGACGGTTCTCCAACCCTTGTATTTGCGACTAAAACAATAGTTTCGTGTTTGCAAAATCTTAATTTTTTTTAACAAAGTAACCACAATTATTTAGATCTAGAGTCACGAAAATTCTCTATCACACATATAGAGATAATTATATACAAAATCAACTCTAACTAAAAACTATTCTGCAGTGAAATATCGAGTGTTATGTTCACTGCAATGAAAATATAATTTTTCTCAACTTCGTAAAACTCCGTCTTTCGCGCTGAAGTATATGATAGAGTATATTTCTCGAAAGGAAACAACTATGAAAATAAGCTTAATAGATCAGTTCACGCCCAGTTAATACCATACAATCATTGCAAAATAGAAATTTCTGTTTGCCACTTGATTACACCGCTCTACAATCATCTGAATAAAGAAGCAAAAATAATGAATTGTGACTTTTATCAGGCTAATAATTGTGATGGAGCATGCGCGCACGCACGCACACTCACTGGTCTAGAATCCCGTCAAGACTTGGACAACAACATGCGACATAACTGTTCCATGAGGCTTGCGCGTCTTTGTTAAGGTGAGCCTTATTCAGAGAGTGTCTGCACGCCTGTTGTCAAGGTTGTTCTCTCTGGTCTGGTTATTGCAGGTCCGCTTCTGTCACTCCGAGTGACTTCAGTGATTCTTGGACTCTTCTCAGGTAGTCTGGATCAGGGTAAAAATTGCTGAAACAATGCCAGTACATCATGTATCAGTTAAACTTAAAAACATTATAAGACATGTGTTTGTGTCAGTGAGGGAACTACATAATTACTTTCATTTTTCAACTAAGTAATCCACGTCCAAAGAGAACACATCCTTTGTATTGATACTCCACATCCACCGTTCTGACATATATATCACTGTGCTGTTGTCTTAAACTTGTAAAATTAGAACTTTGCTTTGTAATACAGTGCAGTAATGAATAAACCTTTAAGCTCATCGGGCAGATATATGTACCTTGAATGTTGGACTGACGTCCCGCCCATTACACATGGAAAAACCTATGTTCATAAAAACGTTTTAATTTAAAATTCTGTTTCTTCAAAACATACTACAATATCTCGCTATTTTACTAAAGAAGTTGTAGCCAACACCTGTTTTCCTCCGAGTCGCGTGAAGCTGCCTGGTAAGCCCAAAGCCTGTTAAAAGAATCACACTTTATCAAGAGACACAGGTGTTTTATTTTTTAAGCATTTTCTAAAATCACATAAATTACCAGAATGCAGAAACAACAACTGGGAATGTATTTAATGTTAAAATTATTTTTCATTATCTCGACGTCCACGTATATGCATGTACTGACTATAATTCATTTACTGTTGATTACCATTTTAGACTTTATTTCTTTGTGAAACTTTGTATGCCGTACTGGTAGCTTTTGCTATTCGGATGGGTTCTTTAATAATTGTTTTACATTTTTTTCTATTTCTAAGGCAATATCATGTTGAACGTATGTTCAAAGAGGGTTTCATTTTCCGGGGCGTAACTCATTAACCAATCACTATCTCTTGAAGATAATTTGTAAGCGCATCAGATACTGTATACCCCTGTTGGATTTACAGGTGCAAATAGGTCCACAGCAACCAGTTATTGTTTTGAGAGGCCAATAAATAGATCGGGGGGTGTCAGACTTGTAGACTTGGTTGATTGTGTGACATCGAGCCCTGATAGAGCGGGCTGTTGCTCATGATGCAGTCTTACTAAAACTAACAAGAAGAGCATCAGACGTTAATTCTGGAATTATTTAATTCTTTGGCTATTTTGTTATGGAAAATGAATGGAATTTTAAAATAATACTCATAACATTGATATCAAAAAAGTACTGTTATTTTCAATCATCTTAATTTATATTTACAATTGAATTACTAACTGGAATCATGAGGCATATGACATACTTTTGCGATTTTATGCACATATTTAAAAGGGCGAGTGATGCCTTTGTTTTCTTATCTGTTGTCGGAGACATCTGCACTTTATACACATTAAGGCAATTACACCGGGGTATGGTGACACACAATCAACCAAGTCTTCGAGCCTGACCACCCGATCCATTTAGTGGCCTCCAACGTGGAATACCACGAGTTTTGGAAGTGGATATAAGAAAATAAAACATACAAGTAGCGTACTTTAATAAATACATCTCAGGTGTTACATGACCATGTCATTCGGGGACTTCTGGTATGGGCATATATTTGATTTAATTCTTAGTTATTTCACGAATCACGACATGATTTGACTGCAGCTATAATACACAGATATACATGTTCGTCCAGGAACACCTGACAAATAAAGCGTGCACACTTTTTTTCTTATTAAAGTCATTTTTGTTCTTGTGAAATGAAGGGTGAGTTAATTATGGATTGAAATCCCTGTTTATGATTAAGGCTGTTTTACTCCTGGCCTTTAGGACTGGCATTCACGATTCTAACTAACTGATTAAATCACATTTAACTGTCCCTGATCATAATCAAAAACTTAATCTTCTATACTTGTGCATATAAACAAATCTGTATATGGTGTGTTACATTAGAGAGATGAATGGTTAACGTAAACCTTTGGTAGATGTTTGGTGAAAATTGCTTCTTCGTTTTGTGAGGAATCCGAAAGATCAAAGTGGGACTCCGAATGATCAAAGTGGGATTCCAAAGGCCCGCCTCGATCGTGAACGTGAGCTTCCTCTCCCAGGCCACCTCCAGCAGAGCCAGCACCTTCTGACCTTCTGGACTGTTGGGCAGGTAGGCGGTGAATTCTCCTCCATTATACCTGACTCCTGGTCTGGGATGCCCCTTCTGTCACACAAGATCTCACTGAATGTATTCCCTGTGTGTATTATAATGACAAGCGAGAGCAAATAGATAACCAGCTATCAGTATACATCCCATATCCTGCATATCCACCTCGTGGATGGATGGTGCCTGGAAGTATAATCACTTCTTATCGCTTATTGAAAACACATCTTTTTATATATGTTAGATTATTTGATTATTTGGCAAGCATTACCATTACCATTACCATTCTTACATGACATAGTACTGATCATCATCTCTCAAGGAACGTGGAATGAATTAGATACATTGATATTTGATTCATATGTGATAACATTATGCTTACTTGTGCAAACAAAGGGAATGTGTTTCTTATTTAAAACAATTTGAAGCAATCTCATTAAAATCAGACCTTAGTTCTCGCTACCGCTAAACAAAGATCTGAGAAAATCCCATTAGGGGTCACGTCAGACCGACCCTTGACCGACCAATGGAGTGACCAATCAGAAGGCAGCTTTCTTGTGATTTACGGCACTTATTTCGAATTGGCGACTATGCTTCGAAACATATTTTGACAAATTCTCGATTACAAATTTGAAACCTGAACAAAAGAACATTCTCGAATGGCTAATAGATGGTCTAGATTGTATGGAATCAGTCGTTAAACCCGTTACTATCGTTCGGAATACTCCATGTTAAAGTTTTCGAGGTTACATGATTAGAAATCCCATTCCGACTGTCACTTTCATGATCTGGTAAGCGACGCTCTGATTGGTCGGATGAAAGGTCGTTCTGACGTGACCCCTAATGGGATGTCTTCAGATCTTTGTTTAGCGGCAGCGAGAACTAAGATCTGATTTTAATGAGATTGAATTTGAAGAGTCTTCAAGGCTAAACAGTAACTATATATATGAAGGCAATAGTGAAAGTTTAAAAAACTAAAGATGATTCATTGATTGACGCTTTGAACGGTATTTCGATCATATCACGGCGTATCTTCTTGATAATGGAGGAAAACCCCTCGTGATACAGGTCCTAGGTGTTTACCTATTTGGTGAACACCAAGAGCAGTCAGTGTGATGTCGACATATCTAGGACGACACCATCATAATTAGGGTCAACATGTGATTCAAATCTCCGATCATAGGTTCCTGGGGCTCAGTTAAACTCTGAACAAAACATTGCGGCGCTTTAAAACAGACTGTCATGCGATAAAACAGCGGTACTGCTGTTAAACAGCTTGAGTTGGCGTGCAACAGGGCGAGTTTGCGATGAGATAGACCAATAGCATGATGCGACAGTGCGACAGAACGTTTACAGTTCTAAAGCATCGCTATGACACATTATCTAAATATGGTGATATCAAGTAATAACATTACATCTTGGTATTTACATTACAGGCTTTGTTCAATACTACAACACAAACATACGATTCTAAGACACTAAAATTTAACCTTTACACATATACCTAGTACATCTCAAAGGTAAAATTAAAGAATGTAAAGTTAAGTGCGCTGTTTGCTTTTTCAAATGTCTTGGAAGGGTATGATAGTAATACATGTAGGTAGGCATTAATATTATCTGTATTTCTTTCTTCTTACCGGGCGTGCCGTTTGGGTAACCTAGTGGTTAAAGCGTTCGCTCGTCACGCCGAAGGCCCGGGTTCGAGGCACTAATTGGGTACAATTTCTGGAAGACCGTTTCTGGTGTCCCCCGCCGAGATACTGCTGGAATATTGCTAAAAGCGGCGTAAAACTATACTCACTCGCTAACTTATCGACCATCACCAAGGAGGTGTGTGTCTGCGCGCACGTGCGTGCGTGCATGCGTGCGCGTGTGTGTGTGTCGAGGGCCAGGCGGGATAACACCATGTACCACCGTTTAACGTTTTGGTATGACATGGTCGGGAATCGAACCACCAACGATCTATCCACTAGACCAAGGAGGCGGTCACCAAATAGAAGAAAACACTCCTCTACAGAGTTTGAAATTACACTGTGCTACATCTTATGCAGTAACATCATTTATTTCGAATAACGTACTTTACTACTGCATTGTCATTCTGTCGCTTTCTACCATTCTCTCACTATCACACTATGGCTCTATCACATTGTCATTAAATGGCGTTTTCGCAATACAGCGTTGTATACTCTCTTATTCTAAGCGATGACGTTTTGACCTCGTTTATGGGGCCTACAGTACAGTACAAAATGTAAGAGAAAACAGTGCCGTACACACTCAACTTTATGTTCATAATACATTTCTTAAATATGAATTGTCACCAATAGTATCAGAAACTGAAATCTCAGTCATATTGAATAAACTAATGATAAAAGGCGTTCAATACCCTGTTACCAACAGGTTCCTATCCCGCCTGTCTTCTCACACGTATGCCACTGCAATAGGGTTAACTGATTGATGAAGGTTATTGTCACAGCCTTATTTTTGACCTATTAAAATGAAATATAACAAATTTGTTTATTTGTTTGTCACAATGCATAGTAACCGATGAATGAGGATAAATACTGAACATAAATGAAAGTCACAAGTGTCCGAATCATAAAATGAATAGTCACTTACACAATGCCACGCATCGCTTGTACGGGCGGTGTACCATTTCTATGAATGTGTAACGCCCTATGAAGGCATTCACATACACATGTATACAGTGGAGAAATATTTATTCCTAAGTATTTTTATTTCATAACCCTATCAAACATACTTAAGTTGAAATAGAAATAATCACAAGTGTTTTTCTGTTTTATATATGAAAACGTTAGAATATATGTTCAAATATTTTTGTCCTGAGCCAGGATGGGTTTACTAATACAATATGAGTACGGTTACAAGGTTACTATATAAATCACCCACTTGTGTTCATATCCTGTCCGAACGAAACTATTTCGCCGTACCTTATTATGTGATATAACGATAATGAAATACTGGGAACGCCCTGTCGCATCGCAATATCACTTAGTCCTTCGTTACATCCAAGCTCTGGGCACTATTAACAACGTCAATCGAGATGAACTCACAATAAACCAATGCCCCTTCTCGACTGTTCATAAAAACACTCAATGAATATGAAGTCATTGTCGTAATGAACATATAACTCAAATGATTGCAGGTAACAACTTGTAACATTTTGTTTGTTTTCGGGTTCATAAGGAATGTCACTTAACGAGAGTGAGACAATACCGAACTTACAGACTGAATTCCATTCTCAAAACTGTATGTTATCTGTATGGTGTGGTGTTGCTCATAGCCAGGTAGACGGTCAGGGATAGCATGTGTCTCCATCACCCCGGGAGGCATGTTTCCAGTTATTACTTTGTAGCAGGTTTTACACACAGGACAATGGTCTTGCACACTGAGTACCTGGTCAATGCAGCTCTTACAGAAACAGTGTCCACACTGTATCTTCTTTGCTTCTACGATCTGATTCAGGCAGATGGTGCACCATTCTCGTTCGGTGGTGAAGGTTTTCTCTTGAAAATGTTTCATCAGTTCATTCTTGCTTTTGAATTTTAAAGCAGCATCAAATACTTCATCCAAACACTGTAGAAGTTGATTCTTTCCTGAAAAGAGGGAAATAAAGTATTGTATGAAGTTTATATCTTTACAAGGTGAGGTTAGCTAGAATTGGGTTTTACATCGCATTCAAGATAAGCATATCATGCACTAAACTAGCAACGTGCATGAACGTGTGTATGTCGCTGCTTGTACTAGTCAGGAATCAGGTCAGTTTTATAGTGTTTGGCCGTTGATCATCATGAGATACCATGCCTCAGTTTAACATAGATATACCCCACACAGATACTTTACTAGCTCCGAGAAGACCTGTCCTTATTTTATCTCCTTCTTGCCGACCGCCAGGATAGACAACCATCTTTTGAAGTTTTTCAGGACTATGCAACCTGGGGATCGAACCCCGACCCCCGCTCTCCTGATGGACGGTAATACCATTGCAAAACATTATTATATTATGATCATCGAAAAACAACAACCGTGTTAATCATATTGTATTTGGCTACACTAATTTCGAATACATGCATGAGCTATAGACCCACGAAATATATTCACCTTTGAGACCGTCGATAGTATATCATAGTATATCATCCACTACAAACAATGTGTTGCTAGTTCGTGACAATATTCGGTGAAATAGGAGAAAGTGTTTGTTCGTGCACTAGCGGCAGGTTTGCTATTACAACCTTGACAACGTGTAACAATGATAAACACACAAGGAAACCAAACTGCCATTAACTAATACGAGGGTATGGATAATCTCACGACAGTCGGTGTGTCTACCTTTCTGGGTGTCAGTAGACTCTCTCACGCATCCAATTTCTGACACTAATGTTTCCACAATGTGTCCATTTGTGGGACTAAATGTCACAACTTCCGGTGCCGTTGGTCGACCTTGTCTTTGTCCAACAGCTGATGCTTCCAGACTTCTCTTGATTGCAGGATACATCTGCAGCATTTCCACGACGTCAGCCTTGGTTCTTGCTTGTGTGAAGTACGTTTCAGTTGAGTCCATGACAGCAAGAGTCTGGTCTATCGCTGCTACTTTCTTCTTAGACAGAGACAGCATTGTGCTACTTCTTTGGTCTATGTCTTGGTCCAAATGTGCTTTTCTTTTATTGATAATACTTGTCAAACTTGTACAGTATGTGCTCACATCGGATTTGGCCTTTCTCTGAGCCTGCATGATTGCATGTTGACGTTTTTCTTCACACAGTCGCCTCTGACGCAGTTGTTGGGCATTTGCTTGGACTGCCCGCATCGATGTTTCCAATTCCCCTTGTATTTTTTTAGCAGCTTTTTCGAGTTTCTGGAAGTCATGGCCTTTATGTTCCAGAACTGTGCAAGAAATACAACAGAGGATTTCATCAGTAGCACAATAGAACTCCAACTGGTGTTTTGGGTGATGAGTGCAGAAATGACCCTTGCCAAACGTGTTCAGGGGCTGTTCTAGTACATCACTCAAGGATATGATTGGATGGTCGTTTGTAAGTCGATGACGTCTGTGTACGTATGTGCAATCCTTACAGAGATATACTGAACACTCCTGACACTTTGACTCCGCTGTACTTCCTTCGGGGCAGTCTGTGCACGGAACTTTTCTTTCATTCTTGATCTGCACAAAATCCACAAGTTTCGCTCTGACCGGATCCACGGGCAATATGTCAGCCTTCCCTGGGACCTTGTGGACCTGGCGACATAGAGGACATGTGATCTGACCTTTCCCCTCCTTCGTGAGCAGCTGTTGAAGACACTGTGTACAGAAGGCATGGAAGCAGGAGTGGAGGAGACGGGGACGTCGGTCTGTCTGGTTGAAATGTTCAACACACACAGGACACTCCAGGAATGTGTCTTTGAGGGCACTCATGTCCACCTTCGCCTGCGGTTCAGACATTCTGGCGAAAGTGGAAAGACCATTATAAAGGATAGATACATGTAACTTAATATCTAGAAATGGACCTTTCCTTTATGTCGAGCAATATTCCAGCAGCTCCAGTCTTTGGTGTCTACATTTAAGGACAGTTTCGGATACAACCGCGCTCTTTCTTAAATATTTCAAAGAGCGTCAAACGACACTTGCTCAAGTTGTTTAATACCATTAGGGACTGACCATTTGATATTCGGTGTGTATGTGAGGTGTGGGTTAGGGTTGGGGTTCGTGGGGGGTCTGTGTGTGTGGGTGTGGTGTGGTGTGTGGGGTGGGTGTGGGTGTCTGTGTTTGTGGGTGTGGGTGAGGTGTGGGCTGGGGGTGGATGTGTGTGTGTGTGTGTGTGTGTGTGTGCGTGTTTGTGTGGTGTGTGGGTGTGGGGTGTGTGTGTGGGGGGGGGATGTGGCTGTTGGGCTGTGGGATGTGAGTAGGGGTGTTGGGGTGGGTGTGTTGATGTGTATGTGTGTGGGGGGGGGGGGGGGGGGGCGTGCTAGTTCTATTTTTTAAAAATAGTTTACTGTGACATATTTATTCGGCATTCGTCATATAGCTGGAATAGTGCTGTTTATTGCGCTAAACCAACAATTATAAATACGACATAAGATGATGCAAGCCACAATATGTATGAGTGATAATTAAAAGAAAAGATTCGAACTATTCAGAAGAAATCATGCTTGAACAACACAACATGCAAAGTAATAACATGTAATGCTTGACAATTGTCTGTCATGAAACTAGAACAGCAAGACGTTCCTGGTTTTACTTTCGGTTTACACATACTGGACTTTGGGTCCTGGGGATGATAAGTACCTGGTACAGTCTGTGCTATTATTATGTGTGGTTTGCAAAAAAGAACTATGGGTTATGTATCGGGTTGATTTCAGAGAATGTACGTATAACATTTTGAATTTCCATCTCTATTGATACCAACCTCAGTAAACCGTTATAACAATCAAACCGACGTGTAGAGTTTCACTGTGGAAAGGATCGTTATCACTGTTATCTTGCAGAAGGGGAGGTAATCCTAACGAGAACACAATAACATCAGTGGAGATCCGCAACTACTGATGGTTGTCTTGTGTAAAAAGGGTGGTAATTGAAGCGTTCGGTATAGGTGTTATCTTCAAATAGAAGAAAATAAGTGAAACCACACGCCTTAGACTTGACATCGTGTTGAAAACAGCTGGGGAATACAACAGGGAAACTATTCGACATACTATCGCAATATTATTTAAAACTGCATCACTCAATATTTCCACGTTAGTATCGCATAGTAGTAATATGTGTATTAAACTACATATTGTTTTCATACTTTACATGAACTTTGCCTAGTATAGCATTTAACGAAATATGACAGGAATGTTTTATTATTCAAACGTGTAGATCTAGGTTTGGAATGGTCCCCATGTATAACGTTGGGAAATAACTGATTGGTTTACTCTAGCAACAAACTTATATCAGAACTTATTTATGGTTTTGCTCTATTGTATTGGTTGGTTGGTTTGTTTGTTGTTTTACGCCGCACTCAGCAATATTCCAGCAAAATGACGGCGGTCCGTAAATAATCGAGCCTGAACCAGACAATCCAGGGATGGATATCATGAGCATCGATCAACGCAACTGGGATCGATGACATGCTTCAACCAAGTCAGCGAGCCTGACCACCCGATCCCGTTAGTCGCCTAGCTCTTCCGACAAGCATATAGTTGCCTTTTACGACAAGCATGGGTTGCTGGAGACCTATTCTATCCCGGATCTTCACGGGACTCTATTGTATTGAAACACATTGTGTCATTATATACGGACATGACCAAATCTGTTTAGTCTAATACATGTCACCAAACACGTCTTCCTCAGTGATGCCGGGGCGGTCGGATAGCCTAGCGGTTAAAGCGTTCGTTCGTCACGCCGAAGACCTGGGTTCGATTCCCGACATGGGTACAGTGTGTGAAGCCAATTTCTGGTGTCCCCCGCCGTGATATTGCTGGAACATTGCTAAAAGCGGCGTAAAACCATACTCACTCACTCACTCCTCAGTGTTGCCAAACACCCAGCCCACTCAGATATGGAACGGACAATGAGCGAGATTTTATGACACTTCATGTTTTTTCTTTGCCCCAACGGGCTTTCTTTCCAATAAAAAATATATATAATTCTTTACAGAAATATTAATCGTCAGACTTGACTAAGTCTATGTTACGTTTCATCATACATTAATTCGTTCTTTGGATTTCAAGTCAATAATTTATGTTATTGGGAGATCTATTTTATTAACACCAATAACATCAATTATTTATTTAAAATAGGGAATGAATGTATTGATATCTCAGTTTCGATTTTATTATACTACATAATCAATACTGATGCCATACAATTTGAATGTATTTATTGCCATTCATAAATGTCTCATGAAGCCTGGATGCTTCGAGAGCTATTTTCTAAAAATAGCCTGACGGCATTCCCAGAACGGAAGTGTCGACCTGGAGGCACACGTTTCACATGATGTAACTTCCGATATTTCAGCCAATCACGTTGAAGCTAATAATCTCGCGATGATTGTAAACAGAAGATGACTGTATGTTGTGTTGATGTGTTCTAATTGATGTAAGCAACAACCTATAGATGGGAAGAAGGAGGGTACGAAGATGGTTTTCACGCATAGTTGGAGTTATTGCGTCGCTGACCGCCCTTTGCATAGCAAGAAGTAATGTAGAGGCGACAGATGATCGGCCGAAGTCTTGCCCAAATCCTGGGCAGGAGTCGGCACGAGACAAGTAAGCTTACGCATTTCCAGTTTGTTTCATGACAAGATAGTTATCGTTAACCACTCATTTCAGGCTTATGTGACGACTGGTGTGAGATGGCTGCATGGTAGTCGGAAGTATTTCACTTGTGGTTTCATTCAAGGGAGATAATGCCGTAGCAATCAATACATTGTGAACGCCACACACCCAGTTTTGTACCAAGTGCTTGTTGTATGGCGTTGTCATACCAGATATGCTAATTTAGTTATAAGCAGTGTGATATTTACAGTGTGGGATAAATAGTTACATCAGTTTGGTTTCGACATAAGTTCTTCTGGTGTTATGACACGTGAAAGTATGTCATGTTGTGATGACCCTTGAACATGGCGATCGGATTGGAAATTCTGATTGGACGATCGGGGCACACCCCCGTCCTTGACATTGGTTGTCTATTCACTGGTGAACAAGAAGCTTGTAGTGTATTTAGATGAATCTGATGTGTACAATTATCAGCGGAAATATGAACGTTATCTAGGTCACTGACAATATTAACATGATTAAAAAAGTTACCGTGCCTTTCACCTGTTACATGTGAAGACAGCACAGTTAATGTCAGAGTGTATAAATAGTGCTATCATCCCTATATTTAAAGGTAGCTACAGCAAATATATATATATATAGTAGCCTACACAATGTTGGGTTTAAGCATGACTGTCAAGGGGTCCTTGTCATAGCTCTAATGTTAAAACATAAAGATTTAGTAAATCCCCAGCTTCAAATAATCTAGGAGCAATTTTTAGACCCCAAGATACACCCACCCACCCTTATTTCGACCTCTGCTGGACATTGATTTTTCAGCAGGTGTTTTATCATTCATCTAATGTTTATCCTACCTGTGTATGAATACTGGTCCCAGCAACCTATGCTTGTCCTAAATTGCAGCTGAATAGATCGGTGGTCAAACTCAGTGTATTGGTCGAGTGAATATAAAAGAATTGTGTGGATCAATGTTCATAATGTCAACCACTAATCATGCTAAATGGTATGGTCCTGACTTGATTATTTCCATACCATCATATCAAGCATATAGCAGGAATATTATTTCTGAGGGCAGCGTTAAACAACAAAGTTGACACAATCAAACACTCCATGCTTATCCCATAATTTCAATAGGGTAACAGTTCGTGGGTCAAACTTGAAGCATGATGATGATGATCCGATGTTATTTTTGCTTTCTGTTTTGAAATTCTTTTTGTATGGAACGGGTGAATGCACTCTTGACACAGACATAGTGTCACATGGTGTGGATACAGCAAAAGTTAATGCTTGAAATTGAATTAGTTCATAATTTTATGCCCTTTTCCTGTTACCATGGTTACATAAAGTGGATGTTTGTCACCAAATCATTTTCACAGTGCTGATTAAAGCATACAATTCGTTCTATTAATTGCATATTACATTCATGTACACCATACACTATCCCTGAAAATAATATAAATAAACTTTCAGAATGTGTTATGGCACTGCAGGATAACGTCATGTCTTGTATTGTGTGCAATTCCCCTCAAACCAGGAACTGACCATTCTCTGTATCTCCAGGGCTTGCATATCGGTAAACCTTCACTAACCCCTGGTTCCATCCAGGGAGGTGCTACAATTTGCCGTGCAGAGTTGCTTCTCTTGGACATGTTAGACTCCACAGAAACCTATTGTTGTGGGTTCGAATCCCGGTTTGCCCAAATTATGTTTCTAGTTTTGTCAGCACCATACTCATACTTGTGGGTCTCACCAAAGTGGTAAACATCTCAGACTTGCATCACTTTGTCATGCCTTCCAGCTCAAACAGACACACAGGGATATTACTTGAATACTGTTAGAAAAGTCACATTGGCATTATTCTTGTGAACGGATGGATAAACTTTTCTTTTTCTTATTTTTCGATCTTCCTGAGGCATGGGAATTAACTGGCTTTAAAAGTCCCAGTTTCCTCTCTTCTAAAAAGGCAGGAATGCCTGGGCTTAATCAGACTTCAAAAGTCAGTTAATTGGCCTCGGGTGGATGTAGAAACACTTCCCATTTATTTCTTAGGGCTGGGTCGACACACCAACTGTGAGATCTGATAGTATCACGATCTGATATATATCGCAATTCTTGCAGGTGCTCTCATCTGTTGTGCGTGGGCCATCTTGTTCTTACTCTTAGACAGGATGGCCAAATACCTAGCACACTGACAATTTACAGTTGGCAGTGTCAAGTATGGCAAAACAAATGAAAATATTGATCATGTTGATGTTTTCACTATTAACTTGCACTACTGATTAGTGTTTAGTGGAACAGTTATTAACGCAAAGATTTAAGATCAGAACCGATATTTTGTACTTTGTGTGCGACTGTGATCGAGAAGTAAAAAATCGCACTCCACCGATGCATTGGTGTTTCGTCCCATCTCTATTATTTATGCAGAAACACTTCCCATTATCTTATCCAGAAATGCTTTCCATCTACATGATCTATGCCACATGTTTACCTGTAAAGTGTCTGTGCTTATTTCTGTCCGTGTAGCTATGGTAACTATGGTAACAGTAGCGTGTGATTCTGTTGTACAGATACCTGATGGTGGTGAGCACCCTGGATGGACGGGTGTCGGCCTTGGACGTCGGGGACAAGGGACAGCTGATGTGGTCAGTCCAGGCTGACTCCCGGCCACTGCTGTCATCAAGTATCAGCAAAATGGAGGTGGGCTGAAAAAATTTGTTGTTGAACTAAACTGCTAAATCTATATTCACAATTAATAAAGAATCTGTCAATAATTCCAACTTGTAAGAAACAAACTACTTGTGTAATACTAGTAGTGTGAACACAAACTGGTTCAGGGCCCGCGAAGATCCGGGGTAGAATAGGTCTTCAGCAACCCATGCTTGTCGTAAAAGGCGACTATGCTTGTCGTAAGAGACGACTAACGGGATCGGGTGGGCAGGCTCGCTGACTTGGTTGATGCATGTCACTGATCCCAATTGCCCAAATCCATGCTGATGTTGTCAATCACTTAAAAGTCTGGTCCAGACTCGATCACTTACAGACTGCCGTCATATAGCTGGAATATTGCTGAGTGCAGCGTTAAACAACAAACAAACTGGTTGATGGCTGCAGCCTTTTTTTAGCAGGGTCACTGGAACAGCACAATTTAACTATTGCAATACATATCTTATCATTACCATGATTACTCAAGTATTGTGATACGTCATGATATGTTTTAATAACCTGATCGCTATCGTTGGGACTTGCTTGTACAATCATGATTAGTGATTGGAAATCTATCAACTGATCAATCATCGAAATTAATCGGTTAGCTTCATTTTACTGATTTTCATTGTTAGGTTCAGTAAAACTTGATCACACGTAACTATAACATACACAAATACTTACTTCAGCAATATTTTTTTTTAAAAAGACACTGGCCACACTCTTTCTCACATGTTTCTCCAAGTACATATACTATGTAGTGAATAAACCTTCTCAGGAAGCAAACCTGTCTCAGGGTTGAGGGGTGTGGGGAAATCATATTTGCTCGACTGCCTAGTCTTTTGGACCTTCAGATCAATCTTTGATTAATTCGATTAATCATAACACCACCACGTGACTCCGCTGATTTCTGATCAACATAGAACAAGATATTCACTATTTATAAATACAGAATTAATTTCATTTGGTATGGAATTTGAACAGGACCATGATGATAGTAAAACATTACAAAACTCGGCACGTTATACATGTTATATCCAATTATGAACAGTTGTTGGTCTTTTGACGCCTTCATGAGTATCTACATTTGCCTGAAGCTCAGCATCACTCTCCCTACAAAAAAGATATTTGTCTTGTAATTTCAGGTGATGCGAGAAGGTGTGCGGACACGACTTATTCCATCACTAGATGGCGGCCTGTACCAGTACGATGGGGACAGTATTGAGGCTGTTCCTATGACGGCAGAGACACTGCTGTCCTCATCCTTCCGATTGTCTGACAACACAATGATGATCGGTGGGAAGGACATCCGAACATATGGAATAGATCCCACTACCGGACAGGTAAGTCATCTGTCATTGTGATATGTACATCATGTTATGGGTCATTGTTAGTTCTTCTGGACTAAAGGCCCCGGCTAGAATGGGTCTTCAACAACCCATGCTTGCTGTAAAGAGCAACTATGCTTGTCGTAAGAGGAGTGAGTATTGTTAAACTCCGCTTTGAGCAATATTCCAGCAATATCATGGCAGGGGACACATGAAATGGGCTTCACTCATTGTACCCATGTGGGAATTGAACTAGAGTCTTTGGCGTGACAAGCGAACACTTCAACCACGAGGCTTCCATGCTGCCCCTGTCATAAGAGGAGAATAACATGATCGCGTGGTCAGGCTCGCTGTCTTGGTTGATGCATGTTATCGTATCCCAATTGGTTAAATCCATGTTCATGATGACAAACACAGGATTGTCTGATCCAGACTCGATTATTTACAGACTGCCATCGTATAGCTGGGTTATTGCCAAGTGCTGCGTGAAACAACAAACAAACAAACAGGACTTTGTCATACATGTTTCTCCATCACCAGTGAATACAAGTGGCTGACATGTGATGTAGTGGTGTGGTGTGGTGTGGTTTGTCTGTGTGTAACTCATGCTCAAATAAGCCCTTCTCGATGCACAAACTTTGTGTGAATCGTAATCACAGTGAATCAATGTCGAGAGAAGAGACCTAAAGAGAGAAACATTGCTGTTTGTGTGATGTAATCTGGATGCTCATTGGTGTGAGTAATTGTTGGTTTCCCTCTCTGTAATTAGGTCATCGCTTGATTCATGTTAAAAAAAATGGTGATTACACCTTATCCTGGCCGTATGTTTTCATGGATGTCAGGGGAATATAGTGTATTCAATTCTGTGACGTATTGAGAGTGGGGGTCAGGTAAATCTAGCTATCATTATGCATTTCCTCATAACATTCATAAGGGAACAATTCATGTATGTGCTATCATCACAGCTTTCCAGCGTTAGAAATTGGCACTAGTCCTGTAGTCCTTACCAAACTGCCCAATAGTAAAGGTATCCTACATTGTCCTAAGGACTAGTAGAAATTGGCCCATTTTAAGGGTTTTGCTATATGTTATCATTATACATGATTATAAGGACTAGTGGACATAAACTGTTAGTTTCTAACCCTGCTTTCATATTTCTCTTGGTAATATGTAATATATCTATTGAAATAATGCAGGATAAATATACAAATGTAAAAAATATTTAGTTGTTTTTTTTATTTAAAAAATCATGTTTCTTTTAAACTGGTCTAAGTGGACTTGTTACACGTAGATAATATAGATTTTTAGTGCTATTTTCATGATTTTCAGGATATTTGTAATGTTAAAATTTAAGTTTGTGTTTACTGTTCTGATCATGTTGCTATTGATATTGATTTATTTCTGAACATTTTGATTTGTTCAACCCACAAACATACAAACTCATACTGATATAGAGATGGCATCTCTCTGTTCTGATTGGGAAAGTTGTCACTTATGGTACAATTATAGCCTAGTACAGTCCTCTCTCAAAAAAGAAGTCCTGTTTGATTTTGGTGGAAACGTCCTAGATGTTTGTGCTGTTTGTGTTGTAGATCCGCTACCTCTGTACAATGGCAGGATGTCACGATCTTAGCCAGGGCGAGAGCCGAGCTGATGATGATCTGATTGTCATCACACGCAACACTCAGACCGTGCGTGCCGTTGATGCAAGGATTGGGGCGGAGAAGTAAGAGCAATCATTTCTAACACCTCTAAGTGATATTTCGAGGTCGTATCAATAAATACAGGGTTGACTTGTTTTATTTTTTACTTTTTATTTTTTCAATGTTACCCATCATCTTCCCGAGGCAAGAGAGTTAACTGACTTTAAAAGTCCAGTTTCCACCCTTGCCCAACTAATCTGGAATTCCTGGGCTCGATCATAGAGCGTCAGTGGTTATTACGAGTTATGTCCCTTCTAAACCTCTCCTATGGACCAAGCAGATTCCACCTCTCGTATCACTTGCATTTGATTCAAACAAAATGTCAGTGCCCAGTCAAGACGATCTGATCGATAATCAGGATATATATTGTGACAAAATGGGTCTTACATCGCGAAGTGCATCAAATCACATGAGCACCTTGATTAAAATCTTGAAAGGATTTGGAAAATATCTGTTGACAATGAGTTGGCGGTGGACATGCTTTGCAAATCCTGCAATCGACCGAAATCAGCACGACAGATTACGAACCGGATTTCATTTTCGTTGCGTTATTTTGATTAAACTATGCATAGACTCGTTAGCGAAGCCAAACTGTAACTCCATAATCATGATAATACCAGCCTAGTTCGGCAAGGGTGGAAACTCGTTAACTCTTTTGCCTCGGGAAGATGTGTACCTGTGCGAGGTACTAGTGCCTTTACCAGAAGATTGCACTAAAGAGGTGGAAAGCCATTAGCAAACTCTGTCTGCCTTCAATGTCATTAAGCTCTGAATCATCTTCGTGAGGCAAGGGAGTTAACAGACTCCAAGTCCAGGAGTTATATCTTGGCTGGACAAACCACTTGTGAATTGGACACTACTTGTGAATCATGTAATTTTGTTGATAACATATTAAGGATGGATGAAGCCACTTTGTAATGTTGTGTATAACATATTTGCTCATGAATCACCATGAAATGAGTGAGTGAGTGAGTTGGGTTTAACACCGCTTTTAACAGTATTCCAGTCATATCACGGCGTGTCAGCTTAATGTGGGAGGAAAGCTCGAAGTGATGCAGGTCTCAGACGTTTACCACTTCGGTGAAACCCACGAGCACGGGTATGGTGCTGACAAACCTAGAAAAATAATCGGGGCGAACCAGGATTCGAACCCACAATCATAGGTTTCTGGCGTGTCCAAGGGACGCAACTCTGCACAGCGAATCTAGGCGCCTTAGACGACTGGGCCGCCCGTGCCCCCCACCATGAAATGAGGCAAATAGAAGCCAAGATTTTATCTCAGAGTGCATTAATAGGCGTCTCAGGGGTGAGGAGTTCTAAAGATTTTGGAGCCCCGCCAGGTGGTTACGCCTTTGCCATGTACTTGTAGGCCAGTTTGGAGAAGGGCCAGTAACTTGTGAACGGAGCAAGCCCTCCTGGCTACAGACAAATTTGTTGTTTAATCTACCCCTGGATATTCATAGAAACTTTGTGTCGGGCAATGAATGAATTCAGCCTGTGTGTTGTACACCTTGTATTTAACACTGTTTAAAGAAGGAACTCATTAAAACAAACATTTGACTGCGTTTACCATGAAAACATTTTTCTTAGTATCATTCAGTCCAATAATTTACTTTCAAACTGACACCAAGCAATAACATGATCCTAATAATTGGTCACCAGGTTTGAATTGGTATAACTTGATGACTTCTTCATGACATTTATATTTCTTTGCCGTTAGGTGGAACTTCAGTGTAGGTCGCCATGAGATAGAGATCATTGATGGCCAGAAGCCCAGTCGCCCAGAAGAGATAGATGACGATGATGACGATGGTGTCACCATTGCAGCGTGTAATCCAGGTGAGAACCTTCTCTTGAGAGTTCAAAGTTGTGTCATTCTCACTGTAGCACTTATCCCCGTGAAATACTCGCTGATTGGAAATAATACTGACAACATTTCATAACCAATCATGCTGATATGACATTTTTAATGAATATATTTCAATGTGTATTTATCTCTCAACAAAGCCACTGATTTATGATTTTATTGATGCTTGTCCCCGTGAATACGACCACAAGCTGAAAGATGCAATTGTCCAGACCACCACTTTTAGGCAACGTGAAATTGACAGGTGATGATGGTGAACGAGTCTCTTCAGAACAGATATGTTTAACATGAATGTTTACATTTTAATGATTGAATTCATAAAGTGCATAAGAACTATGCAGCCATCACGGATCTGAACCAACAGTCCATTTTTGTGTTTGTTTGTTTGTTGTTTAACGACGCACACAGCAATATTCCAGCTGTGTGATGGTGGTCAATGAATAATGGAGTCTGGCCCAGATAATCCAGTGGTCAACATCATTAGCATTGATCCAGGCAATTGGGATACGATGTCATGCATGAACCAAGTCAGCGAGTCTGACCACCCAAGCACAATGCTCTTGTGAACTGGACCGCCTCCGTAGTCTAGTGGTAGAGCGTCCGCCCGGAGAGCGGAAGGATCGGGGTGTGATCCCCGGCCGCGTCATACCAAAAGACGTTAAAAGATGGGACTTGTTGTTACCCTGTCTGGTGCTCGGCATTATTGGGGTAAAACAAGGACTGGTTGGCTCGGAGTCAGTATACTGTGTCTGAGCAATGCTGAGTGGGCTATTCATGTTAAACTGTTACATGGTATCTCAGTGAGCTAGCACTATAAATCGGCATCAGTCAACACACACACACATGCATGCACGTTGTCATATAAGTGCAATAATCTTGGATGTGATGTTAAACACAATTTCACCTCACCTCTTGTGAACTGACAGGGTCCGTTTGTGGTGTTATTACAGGTGAGGGCTTGTCGCCAGAGGAAATGTCGGACTTGGAGGGAAACCTGAAGATCATTGTGCCGGAGGGGATGATAGTGGCCCTCAACCCTGAGGACTCTGTCAGTGTCATGTGGCAACACAAGGTAAGGCCGAAACAATATTCCGAAACTCTGTGATACGTGGCCTTCGATATGATAGATGATAGGTATGAACCAGTATTGTGATACATGAAAATACAAGATACTTAGTTGTAACTTACTTAGTAAGATTAACCAAATCTAAATAGGGATAAGGTGTGGTTATTGTAACACACACCTTATTGTTACGCACACTTCACTTTGGCACACACCTTATTGTGACACAAACCTTATTGTGACACACACCTTATAGTGACACACACCTTATAGTGACACACACCTTATAGTGACACACACCTTATTGCAACACACACCTTATAGTAACACACACTTATTGTAACACACACCTCATTGTTACACACATCTCATTGTGGCACACACCTTATTGTGACACAAACCTTATTGTGACACACACCTTAATGTGACACACACCTCATTGTGACACACACTTCACTTTGGAACACACCACTTTGGACACTCTCCTTATTGCTACACACTTTATTGTAACACACTCCTTATTGTGACACACTCTTTATTGTGACTCACACCTCATTGTTACACACACCTATTGTTACACACACCCTATTGTTACACACACACCTATTGTTACACACACCATATTGGAACACACCTTATTGTTACACACACCTTATAGTAACACACACTTATTGTTACACACACCTATTTTTACACAAATCTATTGTTACACAAACCTTATTGTTACACACACCTCACTGTGACACACACCTTATTGTGACACTCTCCTTATTGCTACGTACTCTTTATTGTGATGCACACCTTATTGTTACACACTCTTTATTGTGACACACACCTTATTGTGACACACACCTATTGTAACACACACCTTATTATAACACACACTTCACTTTGGCACACACCTCATTGTTACACACACCTCATTGTTACACACTACTTATTCTTACACCACTGTTTCTGCCAGTTCTCCAGCCCAGTGGCACACACCGTATTGTAACACACACCTCATTGTTACACACTACTTATTCTTACACCACTGTTTCCGCCAGTTCTCCAGCCCAGTGGCAGACACCGTATTGTAACACACTACTTATTCTTACACCACTGTTTCTGCCAGTTCTCCAGCCCAGTGGCAGACACCGTATTGTAACACACTACTTATTCTTACACCACTGTTTCTGCCAGTTCTCCAGCCCAGTGGCAGACACCGTATTGTAACACACTACTTATTCTTACACCACTGTTTCTGCCAGTTCTCCAGCCGAGTGGCAGACACCGTATTGTAACACACTACTTATTCTTACACCACTGTTTCTGCCAGTTCTCCAGCCCAGTGGCAGACACCGTATTGTAACACACTACTTATTCTTACACCACTGTTTCTGCCAGTTCTCCAGCCCAGTGGCAGACACCGTATTGTAACACACTACTTATTCTTACACCACTGTTTCCGCCAGTTCTCCAGCCCAGTGGCAGACACCGTATTGTAACACACCACTTATTCTTACACCACTGTTTCTGCCAGTTCTCCAGCCGAGTGGCAGACACCGTATTGTAACACACTACTTATTCTTACACCACTGTTTCTGCCAGTTCTCCAGCCCAGTGGCACACACCGTATTGTAACACACTACTTATTCTTACACCACTGTTTCTGCCAGTTCTCCAGCCCAGTGGCAGACACTGTATTGTAACACACTACTTATTCTTACACCACTGTTTCTGCCAGTTCTCCAGCCCAGTGGCAGACACCGTATTGTAACACACACCTTATTCTTACACCACTGTTTCTGCCAGTTCTCCAGCCCAGTGGCAGACACCGTATTGTAACACACTACTTATTCTTACACCACTGTTTCTGCCAGTTCTCCAGCCGAGTGGCAGACACCGTATTGTAACACACCACTTATTCTTACACCACTGTTCTGCCAGTTCTCCAGCCCAGTGGCAGACACCGTATTGTAACACACCACTTATTCTTACACCACTGTTCTGCCAGTTCTCCAGCCCAGTGGCAGACACCGTATTGTAACACACTACTTATTCTTACACCACTGTTTCTGCCAGTTCTCCAGCCCAGTGGCACACACCGTATTGTAACACACTACTTATTCTTACACCACTGTTTCTGCCAGTTCTCCAGCCCAGTGGCAGACACCGTATTGTAACACACTACTTATTCTTACACCACTGTTTCTGCCAGTTCTCCAGCCCAGTGGCAGACACCGTATTGTAACACACTACTTATTCTTACACCACTGTTTCTGCCAGTTCTCCAGCCCAGTGGCAGACACCGTATTGTAACACACCACTTATTCTTACACCACTGTTTCTGCCAGTTCTCCAGCCCAGTGGCAGACACCGTATTGTAACACACTACTTATTCTTACACCACTGTTTCTGCCAGTTCTCCAGCCCAGTGGCAGACACCGTATTGTAACACACTACTTATTCTTACACCACTGTTTCCGCCAGTTCTCCAGCCCAGTAGCACACACCGTATTGTAACACACTACTTATTCTTACACCACTGTTTCTGCCAGTTCTCCAGCCCAGTGGCAGACACCGTATTGTAACACACTACTTATTCTTACACCACTGTTTCCGCCAGTTCTCCAGCCCAGTGGCAGACACCGTATTGTAACACACACCTTATTCTTACACCACTGTTTCCGCCAGTTCTCCAGCCCAGTGGCACACACCGTATTGTAACACACACCTCATTGTTACACACTACTTATTCTTACACCACTGTTTCCGCCAGTTCTCCAGCCCAGTGGCAGACACCGTATTGTAACACACTACTTATTCTTACACCACTGTTTCTGCCAGTTCTCCAGCCCAGTGGCAGACACCGTATTGTAACACACTACTTATTCTTACACCACTGTTTCTGCCAGTTCTCCAGCCCAGTGGCACACACCGTATTGTAACACACTACTTATTCTTACACCACTGTTTCTGCCAGTTCTCCAGCCCAGTGGCAGACACCGTATTGTAACACACTACTTATTCTTACACCACTGTTTCTGCCAGTTCTCCAGCCCAGTGGCAGACACCGTATTGTAACACACTACTTATTCTTACACCACTGTTTCTGCCAGTTCTCCAGCCCAGTGGCAGACACCGTATTGTAACACACCACTTATTCTTACACCACTGTTTCTGCCAGTTCTCCAGCCCAGTGGCAGACACCGTATTGTAACACACTACTTATTCTTACACCACTGTTTCTGCCAGTTCTCCAGCCCAGTGGCAGACACCGTATTGTAACACACTACTTATTCTTACACCACTGTTTCCGCCAGTTCTCCAGCCCAGTGGCACACACCGTATTGTAACACACTACTTATTCTTACACCACTGTTTCTGCCAGTTCTCCAGCCCAGTGGCAGACACCGTATTGTAACACACTACTTATTCTTACACCACTGTTTCCGCCAGTTCTCCAGCCCAGTGGCAGACACCGTATTGTAACACACACCTTATTCTTACACCACTGTTTCCGCCAGTTCTCCAGCCCAGTGGCACACACCGTATTGTAACACACACCTCATTGTTACACACTACTTATTCTTACACCACTGTTTCCGCCAGTTCTCCAGCCCAGTGGCAGACACCGTATTGTAACACACTACTTATTCTTACACCACTGTTTCTGCCAGTTCTCCAGCCCAGTGGCAGACACCGTATTGTAACACACTACTTATTCTTACACCACTGTTTCTGCCAGTTCTCCAGCCCAGTGGCACACACCGTATTGTAACACACTACTTATTCTTACACCACTGTTTCCGCCAGTTCTCCAGCCCAGTGGCAGACACAGTATTGTAACACACTTCTTATTCTTACACCACTGTTTCTGCCAGTTCTCCAGCCCAGTGGCAGACACCGTATTGTAACACACTTCTTATTCTTACACCACTGTTTCTGCCAGTTCTCCAGCCCAGTGGCAGACACCGTATTGTAACACACTACTTATTCTTACACCACTGTTTCTGCCAGTTCTCCAGCCGAGTGGCAGACACCGTATTGTAACACACTACTTATTCTTACACCACTGTTTCTGCCAGTTCTCCAGCCCAGTGGCACACACCGTATTGTAACACACACCTTATTCTTACACCACTGTTTCTGCCAGTTCTCCAGCCCAGTGGCAGACACCGTATTGTAACACACTACTTATTCTTACACCACTGTTCTGCCAGTTCTCCAGCCCAGTGGCAGACACCGTATTGTAACACACTACTTATTCTTACACCACTGTTTCTGCCAGTTCTCCAGCCCAGTGGCACACACCGTATTGTAACACACTACTTATTCTTACACCACTGTTTCTGCCAGTTCTCCAGCCCAGTGGCACACACCGTATTGTAACACACTACTTATTCTTACACCACTGTTTCTGCCAGTTCTCCAGCCCAGTGGCAAACACCGTATTGTAACACACACCTTATTCTTACACCACTGTTTCCGCCAGTTCTCCAGCCCAGTGGCACACACCGTATTGTAACACACTACTTATTCTTACACCACTGTTTCCGCCAGTTCTTCAGCCCAGTGGCAGACACCGTATTGTAACACACACCTTATTCTTACACCACTGTTTCCGCCAGTTCTCCAGCCCAGTGGCACACACCGTATTGTAACACACACCTCATTGTTACACACTACTTATTCTTACACCACTGTTTCCGCCAGTTCTCCAGCCCAGTGGCAGACACCGTATTGTAACACACTACTTATTCTTACACCACTGTTTCTGCCAGTTCTCCAGCCCAGTGGCAGACACCGTATTGTAACACACTACTTATTCTTACACCACTGTTTCTGCCAGTTCTCCAGCCCAGTGGCACACACCGTATTGTAACACACTACTTATTCTTACACCACTGTTTCTGCCAGTTCTCCAGCCCAGTGGCAGACACTGTATTGTAACACACTACTTATTCTTACACCACTGTTTCTGCCAGTTCTCCAGCCCAGTGGCAGACACCGTATTGTAACAC